TCCAATTTCCTTTTTTTTTTCTCTCTCTTCAATTTTTTTCTTTCAAGTTATTAAATTAGATTCTTTTCTTATCATTATTATTATCATTATTATTATTATTATTAGTTTTTCGTTGTTGTATATCTATCTATTTTTGTTCTTCTTTCCTTTTATTAAATTTTATTAAATGTTTTAACCGTTTTTTGTGTGTGTTTGTGTTTTATGCCTTTTCTTTTTTCTTTCTTTCTTTTTATTATTGACCTTACGACCTTTTACCTTTTTTTTTTTTTTATAAATTTAATAAACGGATTTATTATCTTACATGCTATCATTTTTATTTTATAATCGTCGTCATCGCAACGTTTTTATTTCGAAAAAAAAAAAAATTTTTTTGAGTTTTTGTTATGAATTTTATTTGATTTGAAGAATTTGAAAGATTAAAAATAATTAGTCACGTGTTTACACCGGAAGTTAAATTTATTATTATCATGTCGCAAAGTCAAATTTTTTAAAGAAAAAAAAAGAAAAGAAAAGGAGATTCCCAAAGGTAAATTTGTCATAATGGTTGTTATAATTTCTTCTCTCTCTCTTTTTTTTTTTTTTTTTTTTTTTTTTGATATCCAATAACCTTAACGACATTTTATCACGACACTATGACTTTTCACATCATTTTCTTCTGCTTCTTTTTTTTCATGACTGATTCATTCTTATTATTATTATTATTTCGAAAAGGGGAGGAAAAAAAAAAATCGGACCTTTGAAAAAAACCACAATCCAATCATTCATAGCTCTCTCATATTTTAATCTGAGAGTCTAACCTATATTAATCATATTCAAATCTCAGTCATTTATTATTCCCAACACGAAATTTTCCACAGTCGCTCTCCATGTTTGTTTTTCATCTTTTTTTTTTTAAGGTTTTGTCGGTTAAAAAAAAATGTCGGAGCGAATTTTATTTCACTTTTTAACAAACCTTTTTCTCCTTTGATCTATCGTTTCTCTCTCTCTCTCTCTCATCACACGAATTCGTTAAAATCTTTCAAACGAATTTATTCACGTACGATTCATTTAACTGTGATGACACTTGTTTACAAATCACTTCACTATGACGACTATGACGATGATGACGGTGATGGGGATACCAAATAAATAAAAGAACCAAATCAAACCGCAATGAATTCGTTTGTTAGAAATTTTTTGAAAAGGAAAAGGTGGTGGAAAATATATAAAAGGAAAAAAAGGAAAGGAAAGGATTTGAAAAAAAATAAAAATATTGGACTTTTAGTCAGTCACAGAACGGAAAACGTGATTTTGAAAAGAAAACATGATTAGTTTTATGGGGTTGGTGGTGACGGTGGGGGGTGGATGAGAGGGTGAATGATGGCGGGGGTGGGGTTGCCCTTTTGTGACTATACAAAAATCTAATTCTATTTTATATAGCACACAATTAGACATTGATTGATCACTTTAAAAACGAAATTGGATTGAAAGGGTGGTGCGATAGGCCACGAGATAAAATAATAATAATAATTTTGATACAAACGACAATTGAATCCGCTTTTATTGTTATTATTATTATTTGTTTTTCCTCCGAATTCAAACGACAAAAGGCGACAACTCACGACCTTTTTTTTATTTTTATTTTTCACCTGAAAACAAAAAAAAAAGGAATTTATGCTGATTTAATGTGATATTTATTACTTTGGTAAGCAAAACATAATAAAAATAATTTCAGTCTTTACGTCGGTTTTCCAAGGTTTAAATCGAAAAAAAATTTTTTTTTTTTTTACTCTTCAATCGTTAATTTTATAACTAGTTTGTTTATTCGTTTGTTTGTTTGTTTTCGTATCGATTTCTTTACTCTTTTTTTATGAGTTTAAAAAAACTACGAAAGAGTTTTTTTTTTTTTAGTGATAAAACAAAAAGAAGAAGCATTATAATTGAATTTATTATTTATTTTTATTTACGTAATAAATAATATTTAAAGTTTTTCGGAATAAAAGTATTATTATTATTATTTTTTTCAAATAGGATTCCCGCAAGTTGTAGTTGTATATACGAACAAACGAATCCACCTGTGCCATTACCCAACAATTCTTTTTAATATTGTTTCATTTTCGGAGGGTAGGAGGGAGGAGAAGGAGGGGAGGAAGGGATGAGGGGAACCTTTTTTTTTTTTTAAAAATAGTTTAAAGCTTTTCCTCTATCTCTCTCTCTCTTTCCTCTCCTCTGTCCTCTTTCTCTCTCTTTCTTTTTTCTCCTTCTCTTACTCTTTCTTCTCTTTCTTTG